GGTGGTTGGGGGGGTGGGGGTGGGGGCGACAGTCACACTAGACCTTGTTATCTCTGGACTTGCCCGAATCTACACACACAGATGTTAACCTCACTCTGACCGTACCAAACCACTCCTGCTGAGTGGGTGGTTGGAGGGTGCTTCTTGGTTCGTCTTATCTGAGGTAGAGATTTGAAATTGCAATTCTGAAGGCTTAGTCACAGGAGAACTGTATGGGTTTAACGCCCCTTTTCAAAACACACACAAAAAAAAAACGTTTTTAAGATTTGGTCAAAACTGTCCAAGACGGCCATCCGGCATTTTTAAGGAGAAAAATGTGAGGCAGCGTGGTGGAATCAGGCTCTCGTCAAAATAATCAAAGTGAAGAAACCTGCATTTTTCCACAGGTTAGTGAATTTTTATCAATGTTTTGTTTTTTGGCTCAACACCTTTCATGCCTATTAAAGAACTCATTTCTGAGTGGATTTTTTTTAAAAACGTTGATAGAAGGCACAAAAAATTAAATTTTTCAGTTACCACGGACTCTTAAGCTATGGAAGTAACTAATCTTTGGCGATAATTTTCTCACTAATTTTACCTCTGAAAATAGGTGACCCCCCACCTCCTTCATTCACAAATATCTCGACTTGTATTCAAGATAAATGGAATCTTTTTCATCCAAATAAAGACAAGTGAACAAGCTTTAAGATGATACCAATAACTCTACATGCTCCAAAATTGACGAGAGCCTGATTCCACCACGCTGCCTCACAAATGGATGTCTTAGGTGGATATCTTTGACAGTGTTATTACAATAATAGAAGAAAAAAAAAAAAAACGAACGGGGGAAAGGGGAACGTTTTCGTATGTACTGTTGAGTTTCTTGGATAGAACAGATTCGACTGTATGTGACTCTCGAACTTTAATGTCCATTTCCGATAGGACCAACCTAGTTTAAAAAACGGCCCAATAAGGATTCGAGCTAAGGCCATTCACACCATTGCCATGTATAGTTGTGCTTTTTTGGTTGTATATTCTATTCTATTTTATTTTATTATTATTTTTTAAACTTTTTTTTTCTTTACTGAAGGTGTCATCTTTGGCTCAGAAGTTGGCGTGCAATGACGCGCCAGTGTTTACGGTCGATACATGCTGTTTTACGCTCTGTCGTCATACTGGGCCAGCCCACGCCTTGTTATCGGCCCACTTTGTTCTTTGTTGAATATGTTGTACATAAAGGCTTTTCCTGATAGGATCTGATTAGATGAGAAAAGCGTGATAAGGAGGTGGGAGGGGGGGGG